TGTTGGGTTGTCGTTGTGGTGGTGATGGGTGGGTTGTGATGGTGGTGGTTGTGGTGGTGGTGGTGGCTGTGGTGGTGGTGGTTGTGTGGCGGTTTGGTGGTGGTGGTGGTGGGCTGAAGCGGTGGTGTTAGTGGTGGTGGTGGTGGTAGTGGTGGTAATCGGCGCCGTCGCCAGCCTTGGCGTCGGCGCGGGAGGTTTGAACCCCCCCCTGGGCTCTGGCGCCAGGCGGGGGGGGGGGGTGGGGGGGTTTGGACCCCCCCCCTTGGGCTGCCTCTGGTCATCGTCGCTGCGTCCCCGCCGGCCGTCGGTGCTGCTAGCGGTCGCCGGCGCCGCCGCCGACGCCGAGGGGGGGAGGGGGTTGAACCCCCCCCCCTCTTGGGAGGGGGGGTGGAGGTTCGAGAGGGGGGGTTTGGGGGGGAGGGGAGTCCCCCTGGTTTTGATCGACGTCGCCGAGTGTTGGGAAGGGAGCCCACCCACGGGTTCGAAACGCGCCGCGTGTAACGCGCTCTCTCTTTTGTGAGGACGTCTTGTCTATCGCACTTCGTTGCTTCCATCTTTGTTTCGATGTAGCCAGGACAGGAGGGACAACGCCCTGACTTCAAAATGTGTGCACATCGGTTGCGGAATCATGGCGTATCTTGCCAACGCACCATTGCCAGGCAACATTTTGAATGTCCAGAGCCAGCTGTAGGCCTCTTCGTGCCCTTCGTGTTCGCAAGCGTTTCATTCCCAGGCCACATCTTGAACGTCCGTACCCAAGTGTATGTCATTCTGCGTTTTTCGACCCCCCCTGTAACACCATTTTTAGGCCACGTTTCGAAGGATCATAACTAATTGTCGGATACCTTGTTTTCTTCGTTTTCCCAGAAAGCAACTCCCATACCGCCTTTTAATTTTCTGGGGCCGCTTGTAGACCAGACTCTCGGGGCGATCGAAATGGGTGCGAGAGACCGGGTACGATGCCCAACAGCAGTTCCTGTTCATTTTGAACAGGCCTCGCCGACCGCGCCGCCGCGGACGCTGTTCACTGAAGACACGAAGCCGCCTGCCCAACAGTGGCCGCTGTTGGTTTCGGACAACATTTGTTGTTGGGCATTGTTTCTTTTTACCTAACAGCTTGTTCTGATAGGTTTCTAGTGGTGTCAAAAGAGAGCAGCAGATGACTCCACAGGGGGGTCTGGGCGGGTGCCGGACAGGGTGCCGCAGAAGTCGTTTTAAGCCAACAGTCACACATTTCGTGCTCTTCGACCTCCCAGAACTCCATTCCCGGGCCACATTCTGAATGCCCGGAGCCAACTGTAGGCCACTTCGTGCTCTTCGACTTCCCAGAACTCCATTCCCGGGCCACATTTTGAATGCCCGGAGCCAACTGTAGGCCACTTCGTGCTCTTCGAGTTCCCAGAACTCCATTCCCGGGCCACATTTTGGATGCCCGGAGCCAACTGTAGGCCACTTCGTGCTCTTCGATTTCCCAGAACTCCATTCCCGGGCCACATTTTGGATGCCCGGAGCCAACTGTAGGCCACTTCGTGCTCTTCAAGTTCCCAGAACTCCATTCCTGGGCATGATTTTGAATGCCCGGAGCCAACTGTAGGCCACTTCGTGTTCTTCTAGTTCCCAGAACTCCATTCCTGGGCCACATTTTGAATGCTGAGGCAGGCTGATGCTGCGGCCGAGGCAGGCTGAGGCTGAGGCAGGCTGAGGCTGAGGCCGAGGCTGAAGGCAGACTGAGGCTGAGGCTGAAGCAGACTGAGGCTGAGGCTGAGGCAGGCTGAGGCTGAGGCTGAGCAGGCTGATGCTGAGGCAGGCTGAGGCTGAGGCTGAGGCTGATGCAGGCTGAGGCTGAGGCAGGCTGAGGCTGAGGCCGAGGCTGAAGGCAGACTGAGGCTGAGGCTGAAGCAGGCTGAGGCTGAGGCTGAGGCAGGCTGAGGCTGAGGCAGGCTGAGGCTGAGGCTGAGGCAGGCTGAGGCTGAGGCTGTGACTGCGACTGCCGTTGCCGCTGCGACTGTCATCGCGAATGCGACTACGACTGCGAGAACAGCAGAATTCTACAACTGGATTTTCATCTGAATCTTAAGGGGAATGCTTTCAGATATGCTTCTACACATCGCTGTTAGGTTGCTTTGCCGGGATAATTTGTTTGGCAGGACCCGTCACGGGCGTCCAGAAATTCCGCCGCCGGGACCTTTTGGCTGTTTTTTTGAAGGCAAGGGGGCGCCCGGCAATGATTTCGATCTTTTCCCCGAGCTGAATGCGAAACCCTCTTCAGTGGAATCGCTGATCGCAGTTGATGGAACAGGCGCGTCTCCGTTCGTAACTTCGCATCCGTCGTTCAACCAGTTTCGAAGCCGACGTCCCGCCACGCCGTCCTGTTGAGGGCGGCCGTGGGGTCATTGTACAGCGGATGTCGCCGTCGTCGGCGGGGGAGGGGGGCGGGAGGGGGGCTTCTGGACTCCCTGATTCATTTTCTGGGGCGGGGATCTGGATTCCCCGAGTCATTTTCCCAAAGGGGGGGGTCCAGACCCCCCAAGCTCTTCCAGAGAGGGGGCGGAGTATGCGGGGGGGGGACCTTTGGAGGAGGGGGGGGGAGTCGTTCGATCTTCCCCCATGAAGAGTTTTCAATGGGGGGGGGTCCCCTTGCGTGGCCACGTCTGAGAAGAATGTTTGTCAGGCCCGCGACGGTGGATCGCGCTCCCTCCGAATTCTTGCCGCCTCGCGCATCACCAGCCCACCCGGACACGATCGCCAGGTGAGTTGCGTTTGTTGCGGGCAGCGCAGAAGCATACGGTGCGACAGCCGCCCTTGATTCGGGGGTGGACAGAACCCCCATTAGTGACACGTCGATTAGTGAATTGTCCGTTTTCGGTTCTCGAGAGGGCGCCGTGGCCGTTATTTTCCAGGCTTGCGCCCGCCAGGTTTGGGCCTCAGGTCGTTTTCACTAAACCATGTTTTACTAAAGGGAGGTCTGTCCATCCCCGATTGATGTCTTTGGGGGGTGCGGCGGGGGGGGGGGGGCGGGGACCTCTGCTGACGAGCCGCCAAACGGTAGGTTGAACAGGTCGACCTGGCGCCATTTGGGCTCTGTGGGCGTCTGCTTGGGGTCCTCTGCGACAGATGCAGGGCTCGTTTCGATTTCTTCATTTCGATTCGATTCGACTTCGACGGCTTCCGATTCCGATTCGATTCGACTTGGGATTCCGATTTGGGCTCCGATTTCTCATTGGAGGTATACCAGCCTGCCGATTTCCGCCGATTCGACTTTTCCCGAATCGGCAACCGACTTCCGCCGATCCGATTCGTTTCGATCGCCGACTCGATTTATCGCTTCGATTCTGTGCTCTCCTGCAGATGCTGACATGCCACGGTCATGCCACCGGGGAGGGGCTGCTGCACCGGGCCCTCTCATGGGCGCCCTTGGAGCGCTCCTGGGGCCCTCCTCCTCCTCCTCCTCCTCCTCCTCCTCCTCCTCCTCTGGGGGCCCTCTTGGGGCTCTCCTGGGCCTGGGCCCCTCGTGGGGCTCTCTCGGGCCGTCCTGGGGCCAGCTCGAGGCCTCTGGGCCCCCCCTCGGGAGCGGAAAGGCGAGACGGCACGCACCAGACAGGTGCCTTCGGTGTGGGAGCCACTGCTGTCTCTTGGGGGGGGGTCCCTTGGAGGGCTCGGCTCGGAGGGCACTCGGGACCGTTTGGGGGCCGTCTTGAGGCCTCTCGGATGTGCGCCGGAGGCTATCTTGAGCCATCTTGAGCTATCCTGGGCCATCTTGGAGGCCATCTTGGGGTCTCTGGGGCCCTCCTGGAGCCATATTGTGCGATCTTGGGGGCTCTCGCACTCCGCGCCTTCCCCCCTCCCAGGCCCAGGGGAGTGGGTAGGGAGAGGGCGCCCTCCCCGCCCGCAAGCCGTCTCGCTCACTCCCACCCGCCCTCCCAACACATACGTAGCACCCGAGCCTGGCCCGAGCCGCAGCATATGCAGCAGTCGTCTTTGGATGGCCAGCTACTGGGGGAATCCGCCGCCGCCGCCGCCGCCGCCGCTGTCCGCCGCTGCCGCCGCCGCCGCCGCCCGCCCGCCGCCGCCGCCGCCGCCGCCGCCGCCCGCTGCCAAATCGCGCCGCCGCAGCCGCTGCCGCCGCAGTCGCTGCCGCCCCCGCTGCTGCCGCCGCCGCCACCACCGCCGCCGCCGTCGCCGCCGCCCCGCCGCCGCGCCGCCCCGCCGCCGCCCCGCCGCCGCCACGCCGCAGCCCGCCGCAGCCGCTCCCCCGCCGCAGCCGCCGCAGCCGCCGCCGCCGCCGCCAAGTGTATTATGTTTTGTTGTTTTGACAGGGGTGGTGGGGGAGGCCGCATCGGGTTCGCTGCGCATGCTCCGAATTTGGAGACAGAGTTTGTTTTGCATGGTTTTTTACAAAGGACGGTGCGGGCAGAGTGTGCTTTGCATTGTTTTTTTTAGAAAGGATGGTGGGGGGGGGCCTCGTGGACTTGGGTTGGCTCCCAGTCGCCTGGGGGAGGGGGTGTGTATTACTAGGGAACAGTGATCAAGATTCCCTCTCCCCCCGCAAGCCGTCTTGCTCACTCCCACCCGCCCTCCCGACACATACGTAGCACCCCAAACCTGGGGGCGAATCCGCCGCCGCCGCCGCTGCCGCCGCCTCCGCCGCCGCCGCCGCCCGCCGCCACCGCCGCCGGCGCCGCCGCCGCCGCTGTCCGCCGCCGCCGCCGCCGCGCCGCCCGCCGCCGCCGCCGCCGCCGCCGCCCCCGCTGCCGAATCGCCGCCGCCGCAGCCGCTGCCGCCGCAGCCGTTGCCGCCACCGTTGCCAATGCCGCCACCGCCGCCGCCGCCGCCGCCGCCGCCCCGGCTCCCAGTTGCCTGGGGGAGGGGGTGTATGCTAATAGGGAACATTGATCAATCCTTCCCCCGAGCAGGGGAAGGAGAGGTTTTGACAGAGAGAGAGGAAAACAACAAGGAGGGAGAGAGAACAAGAAAAAAGGATAACATACACAATCCGTTAAACCACCTACGCCCAGAGGGCTGGTGAGATTCGCGAAGTTGCATACATCCCGTTTCAGACATCCCGGTTCAATCAGACTTGGTGCAGCCTCCATATTGTTCGTAATCAATCCACACACACGCACACGCGAAACCATTTGTTTTGCGGGTCCGTTCTTTTCTGTGACGTGGGATGGCGGTCCATAAGGCACCTTGGACCGTGCGGTCCGTGGTTGCAGTCGTCTTCAGCATCAGCGTACCCACTGTGACCTCGATCGGTGCGAGTTTCGAGGCGACGTGTGCAGATGACGACGCTCAAAGTGTTTCGCTGGCAAGCGGCATCGGCGTCAATATCAGTGGCTGTGCTGAGGTGCAGCCTTATTGCGAGGATGCGGCGTATGGCGGCGTTGTGAAAGCGACCTGCCCTGCAACGTGTGGCCTCTGCAGGGCGGCCAGCCCCAGCAGCTCCCAGGCGGCTAAGGTGCTGATGGACAGGAGCTCCAGGGGCTCCCGGGACGCGGATGACCAACAGTCCTTGGACAGGGCTCTGGCGGCGAAAGGGCCCGACCCGACGCCGAGGCCGACGCCGTGGCCGACGCCGTGGCCGACGCGGTGGCCGACGCCGAGGCCGACGCCGTGGCCGACGCCGTGGCCGACGCGGTACCCGACGCCGAGGCCGACGCCGTGGCCGACGCCGAGGCCAACGCCGTACCCGACGCCGAGGCCGACGCCGTGGCCGACGCCGAGGCCGACGCCCTATCCGACGCCGAAGCCGACGCCGAACCCGACGCCGAACCCAACGCCGTATCCGACGCCGAAGCCGACGCCGAACCCGACGCCGAACCCAACGCCGAATCCGACGCCGTACCCGACGCCGTACCCGACGCCGTACCCGACGCCGAACCCGACGCCGTACCCGACGCCGTACCCGACGGCCTTCCCGACGCCGTACCCGACGGCCTTCCCGACGCCGTACCCGACGGCCTTCCCGACGCCCTATCCAACAGCTTTTCCGACGGCCTTCCCGACGCCCTACCCAACAGCTTTCCCGACGCCGTACCCGACGGCCTTCCCGACGCCCTTCCCGACCCCTAGCCCGACGCCGAGCCCGACATATCCTGTGGGTTGGCCGACGCCACAACCGACGTTTCTTCCCGCAGCTCCTATGGCGGGCGGAGCTGCCAGAGGCGTGGCTGCCACCGGCGATCCACACCTTCAAAATCTTCACGGCGAGCGGTTCGATTTAATGCGGGCGGGCAAACATGTTCTGATAAACATCCCTCGTGGAGTGAGCGCTGAGGACGCATTGCTTCGTGTGCAGACCGATGCGCGCCGCTTGGGTGGAAGCTGTTCGGAAATGTATTTCCAAGAACTGAACATTACAGGCTCTTGGGCAGAGGCTAAGCAAGTTGGAGGGTATCACTACGGCGTACAGCAAAGCGTTAGGACGAATCCGCAATGGATTGCTATTGGTCGGGTAGAGCTGAAAGTCGTCCATGGACGCACAGAGAGTGGCATCCTGTACTTGAATGTGTATGTGAAGCATTTAGGGCGAGCAGGGTTTGCTGTCGGAGGTTTGCTGGGGGAAGACGACCACAAGGACGCAATGATTCCCCCGGCGTCCTGTACCAAACACACTCGTTTGGCAGAAGCAGAGACGAGTGGCCAGGCTCCTTCCTCCGAGTCGTCGATTGCAGCGGCAACCTTCGCGTGACCATGCTGGATACTTTGAAACGTGGTTATATGACAAGTACGCCCCTTCGGGTGACGCATGCCGTAGTGTTTTCCTGCTCCATCGAAAAAGAAGTAAAAACCTTTAAGTGCAAGCACTGCTTGGGGAAGAGGCATCTCAAACAGTTCGCGGATGCATGACATGACCTCTGGTGCCATCTAAGAGCTTCAGACCGACGCCCCCGAGGCCATCGGAAAAGTCACGTGGCATGCTGGAACAGAAGGTACAAGCAATAAACTTGCATTGTATACATGGCGTTGTCGCGGCGGCGGTAGTCCTTTCGCCGTTCGCAGACACGGCGCCAATGTTCCCTTTCGGCAGCCGCACCCCCCACCCCAAAGATGCCTTAGTTCTGGCCTTGTCACTCCACTCCCGTGCTGTCGGAGATTTGGGGGTGAGACCGAAGTGCAACGTGAGATGCACCAACCGGGACATGGTTTCGTTTCGTGCGTGAAGTGCGCGCGGGCGAGGCGAAGCGAGGCGAAGGCGCGCGAGTTCGCACGCTGGTTCGAGGCTAGGGCCGAGTCAGACAAATGAGTCGCCCCACGCGGCGGCCGTGGTGTGAAAGTTGTCCCGCTGGTTTTCCCGATGGTTATCCCGACAGTTGTCCGGACGGTTGTATCCCCGATGGTTGTCCCGATGTTCTCCCCGATGATTTTCCCGATGGTTGTCCCGATGGTTGTCCCGACGCTTGTCCCGGTGATGTTTCCGATGGTTGTTCCGATGGTTGTCGCGATGGTTGTCGCTATGGTCGCCCCGATTGTTATCTCGATGGTTGCCCTTGTGGTTGTCCCGCTGGTTTTCCCGATGGGTGTTCGGTGGTCCGGTGGCCCAATGGTTGTCCCCGATGCTTGTCCTGATGGTTGTCTCGATGGGCGTCTTGATGGTTGTCCCGATGATTGTCCGACGGTTCCCCTGATGGTTTCCCAACCCTCTGGTGTTGGTTTCTCGCTTCGAACAGAGCACTGCGGTCGCGACCTCCTTCCTCCTCTCTCCTCCTGCCTCCTCCCCGCCTTCTGCGTCCTACCACGCCGTCCTGTCTGGGGGGCTCGCCGATGCAGTCTACGTGGTTCAATGTACGTGGTGCGCTCTATGTGATGTTAGCTATGTGGTGCAGTCTATGTGGTGTAAGCTATGTGGTGCATTCTACGTGGCGCAAGCTATGTTGTACAATCTGTGTGTCGCAGTGCATGTGGTACAATATGTGTGGCGTTAGGTTGTACAATCTTCGTGGTGTGAGCTATGTGGTGCAATCTCCTTTTTTTTAGTCAGCGGCCGCGGGCGAGCGCGCCGGCGGCGAGTCAGGTCCAAGCGGGCTGCGCAGAGACTAATTAGGCAGGCGACGCGCAAGGCAACAGCTACGCGGCAAGCCGAGGCCTCACGCAGCGGCCCAGCGGCAGGGGAATGGCTGGAATACGCGGTGCAATCTACGCGGTGCAGTCCACTTCGACTGTCTTGAAGCTGTCCTCTCCACTGCTCGTGCAAACATCCCACCCTCCCACCCGCAACTTGGTCGCAAGACATCTTCAGACAAGACCGTGACGGTAGGTACTGCGTGGCACTTGGCCACGACACCGATGCCGACGACGACAGCGACATCGACGACGACGGCGCCGCCGACAGCGACTGCGACGACACCGACGACGTCTCCAATGTTTTCGACGACGACAACGACGACGACGACACCGACGACGACGACAACGACGCCGACGACGACGACGAAGACGACGACGACGTCGCCAACGGAGACGACGACGAGGGAGGAGAAAAAACGACGACGGCGACAACGACGACAACGACGATGGAGGAGGGAAGACGGCGACGACGCCAACGACGAAGAAGGAGGAAGGACGGCGACGCCGACGACGACAACGACGAGGGAGGAGGGAAGACGACGACGATGACAACGACGACGAAGACGACGACGACGGCGACGAAATAGGAGGGACGACGACGAGACGCCGACGACGACGACGACGACGACGAGGGAGGAGTGAAGACCACGACGACGACGACGACGACGACGGCGACGAAATAGGAGGGACAACGACGAGACGCCGACGAAGACAACGAGGGAGGAAGGACGACCACGGCGACAACGACGACGGAAACGACGACGACGCCAAAGACGACGAGGAAAGACAGAAGACGACGACGGCGACGACGACGACGACGACGACGAGGGAGGAGGAGGGGACGACGACGACGACGACGACGCAAGAGCGCGCGCGCACAATTTTGTTGAAAACCCGTGTTGCGAAACCTTGTGTTTTTGTAGGTTTTTTGGACGCACGATTTCGAAATTCTTCCGAAACCGAAGGTTTTTGAAGGATTTCGGCATACGCCCGCGACGACGCGCGCGTCTGCACTTCGTCCCATTTTTTACAGGAATTCTCGCGACGGCACACGCGCAAGAGCGTTCGACAGATTTCGACATGCGCGCGCGCGAAGCCCGTTTGGTAGCATTTTGTGAAAGTCTTGGAAAACATACGGTTTTCTTAAGGTTTCGCAAGAGCTCGCGCGTAAGTTTTTTTTTTCACCAGTGTTGCGAAACCATGTGTTTTTACATGTTTTTTGGAAATTCAATTTTGAAATCTCTCCGGACCGCCGGTTTTTGAAGGATTTCGGCATGCGCGCGCCACGACGCGCGCGTGTGCACTTCGTCCAATTTTTTGCAAGGGGTTCGTGAAAAAGTGCCATGTTAGAACAAAACATGTCACCGCATAGTGTTTTTTACAAGGGAACCGCAGGGGGGGGGAACCCAGCTTGGCTGGGATGGTATGAATTCATATTTTGGATGGACATGTGGTCAGAATCATATGTAATTTACAGCACGCGTGGGGGTTCCGATAAGTCAGGGGGGGGGGGGTAGAATCTATTAGTCTGTTAGAAAGGAGAATCAATTTCTGTTCGCAGTGAGTTGTCCACTCCACTGCTCGCGCAAACATCCCACCCACCCACCCAAGTCCGTGACGGTGGGTACCAAATGGCACTTAGTAACGACAGCGACGCCGACGACGACAGCGACAACGACGACGACGACGCCGCCGACAACGACTACGACGACACCGACGACGTTTCCAACGACTTCGACGACGACGACGCCGACAACGACGACGACGACGACACCGCCGACGACGACACCGACGACGACGCCGAGAAAGACGAGGATGATGACAACGACGACGTTGATGGCGACGCCGACGACGACGACAACGACGACACCGACGACGACGACGACGACGTCAACGACGCCAATGACGACGACGACGACAACGGTGGCGACGACGACGACGCCGACGTCAACGATGAAGACGACGACGCCGACGACGACGAAGACGACGACGACGTCGTCAACGAAGACGACAACGAGGGAGGAGGGAGGACGATGACGGCGACAACGACGACAACGACAACGACGATGGAGGAGGGAGGACGGCGACGACGCGAACGACGAAGAAGGAGGAAGGACGGCGACGCCGATGACGACAACGACGAGGGAGGAGGGAAGACGACGGTAACGACAATGACGACGACGACGACGATGACGGCGACGAAATAGGAGGGACGACGACGAGACGCCGATGACGGACGACGACGACGACGAGGGAGGAGGAGGAAGGCCGACCACGGCGACAACGACGACGGAAGCGACCACGACGCCAAAGAGGACGACGACGACGAACACGAGGAAAGACAGAGGACGATGTAGGCGACGACGACAACACGACGCGGAAGGAGGGAGGACGGCGACGACGACGACGACGACGACGCAAGAGCGCGGTCGCACGCTTTTGTTGAAAATCCGTGTTGCGAAACTTTGTGCTTTTGTACGTTTTGTGGACACGATTTTGAAATCCTTCCGAAACCGATGGGTTTTGAAGGATGTCGGCATACGCGCGCGACAACGCGCGAGTCTGCACTTCGCCTTACCTTTTTGCAGAGGATTCTCGCGACGGCACACGCGCAAGGGCGTTCGACAGAGTTCGACATGCGCGCGCGCGAAGCCCGTTTGGTAGCATTGTGTTAAAAGTCTTGGAAAACCTACGGTTTTCTTAAGGTTTCGCAAGAGCTCGCGCGTAAGCTATTTTAGCAAATCAGTGTGGCGAAAACCTGTGTTGTTGTATGTTTTTTGGTAACTCGATTGCGAAACCCTTCCGACACCGAAGGTTTCTGAAGGGTTTTGGTATGCGCGCGCGACGACGCGCGCGTGTGCACTTCGGATTTTTTGTGCGAGGGATTAATGAACAAGTTTTATGCTAGAGCAAAAGATGTCCCCGCGTATTCTTTTTAACAAGGGAACCTCAGAGGGGGGCGATACCGGCCCCACTGGGATAGTGTAAATTCATATGTCGGATGGACATAGGGTCAGAATCATTTATGATTCACATACCCGGAAGGGGGAGGGATAACGCCGGGGGGGTAGAGATTATTTTCTTTTTCAGAAAAGAGAATTCATGTGGTGCAGTCCACTTCGACTGTCTTGAAGCTGTCTTCTCCACTGCTCGTGCAAACATCCCACCCTCCCACCCGCAACTTGGTCGCAAGACATCTTCACACAAGACCATGACGGTAGGTACTGCGTGGCACTTGGCCACGACACCGATGCCGACGACGACAGCGACATCGACGACGGCGCCGACGACAGCGACTGTGACGACACCGACGACGTCTCCAATGTTTTCGGCGACGACAACGACGACGACGACACCGACGACGACGACAACGACGCCGACGACGACGAAGACGACGACGACGTCGCCAACGGAGACGACGACGAGGGAGGAGGGAGGACGATGACGGCGACAACGACGACAACGACGATGGAGGAGGGAAGACGGCGACGACGCCAACGACGAAGAAGGAGGAAGGACGGCGACGCCGACGACGACAACGACGAGGGAGGAGGGAAGACGACGACGATGACAACGACGACGAAGACGACGACGACGGCGACGAAATAGGAGGGACGACGACGAGACGCCGATGACGGACGACGACGACGAGGGAGGAGGATAACGACGAGGGAGGAGTGAAGACCACGACGACGACGATGACGACGACGACGGCGACGAAATAGGAGGGACAACGACGAGACGCCGACGAAGACAACGAGGGAGGAAGGACGACCACGGCGACAACGACGACGGAAACGA